TTGCATTCATTAGATGTTACAGAGATTACAGACGTTAGATTATTATAATTTTTTATTTGCTCCATTAGTTTTTATTGTAATGCTCAAAAAAAGTTATGAAAATCTAGTAAATTCTTTTGTTACTTAAAAAGTATTATATATAATATCATTCTGAATAAAATTAATATTGCACAAGAAAAATACGTTGTACATGTTGATACAACACGGTTTTCTATTTTAATTAATTTTGTAATCAATATAAAATAGCATAGTAACAATTCTTAATATGCATTATTTCATAATCAATTTGGTGCAAGTTTTTTCTCAAAACAAAGAAAATAAGCTATAGAATTTTTCAAGTTAGTAGTCTACGTTTTCTTCACGCAAAATTGTCAATTTTCTAAGTTTCTACAATTTAAATTTTCCTTTAAAGTTTTAAGGTTCTACTATATCATTCGGATACATATTTTATTTCAAATGTGCGCAAAGCATTTTGTACAGTCAGATATGCAGCAACCATGACGAGCTTCGTGACTTTGCATGGAAAAAGGATCAACGACGTTCGTGTCGAGTGTGTGCGAGTCGATGGAATACGTCCGCCTCGAAAAGCAAACGAAACGATTTCCACGAAGGTATAAAAAGAAAAGCGCAGGAACAAGCCGTTCGGAAATAGCCGCGGTTAATTTTGCGTCTGCTCCGTGCTATAAATGTACATCATAGAGAGTTCGCGTCTGTTCATCGTCTGTTCTCCTTCTCACTCTTCGTTTGAGTCCCTTACTTCTTCCCATTTTTTTCTGTCTTTTTTTTTTTTTTAGCTCACTATCTCTTTAAAATACATTGCTGTGTTTCCGGTGAACTGTGGCGGAAACTGCAAGTGTTGTAATATTGATAGATTCATGATGAGTGTTTTGATGCTCGTGATACTCTCGAATTATAATTATCTATATAATTTTGCACATATATCACTACGTGATATTTCTATATTTGCATTTCAATAGTTTTTAAATTTGCAAATTAGTTATCTGTAATAGATTTACTGTAATAATCGTTTATACTTACGCCAAATATTTTAATAGATATTAATAAATAACAGCATAAATTAACATTTTGAAACTCGAAATGGTATTAAAAATGTTTTAAACGAAGTAGCAGAACAATTGAAATAGACAATACTACTACAGTAAATTAAATTACTTGAAGCCTGTGCAACAGTGATCTTTATTGATAAAATCTGTTGTCAAAGTTAACAGTTTTAAAAATGAGAACTTGTTATAAATAAACCTTGATTATTTTCCGGTAATATAGTTTTTATTAAATTTTATGTGTAAATGAAACATGACTACACATTCGATATCAAACAGTTATTATCCGTAAAAATTGAATAGAGACAAGAGAGAATTTTTCATTGGTGAAATACAAGTGAGATTTTTATACGGTTAAAGGTTAATTAAAAACATAAATTCTTTTGAGTGTCTGAAAGATCAATAATTTGTACACACGAACGAAAATTGCGGCGCGCGCTTGCGCTAACGAATGCGTTTCACCAATTTCTGCGATATTTATTCGTATTTCAATGATTTTGCAACCTCGAAATGTCAATTCTCTCTTGCATTTATGATATTCCCATCATGGCTATCAATCGAACTTGTTCCTGATCATCAATCATGTTATATCCCGTATGCACGATTTTATTGAGATAATTATCTCGTGAAAAATATCCGTCTTTATCCGAAAGCGATGCAGCGTTTAAGTCACGACTATTGTGTAAATATTATGTTCATTAAAATGCATATAATTACGTATAATTACTATTTAGTTTTACGTCAAATATTCCGTAGAAGTCGTCGCAATCTCATGTTAATGTTTGCCTCATAATTTTATAATCCTTTTTGCAATGTGACGTTGAATTTACATAGAAATTTGCATGCATCAGTTTGCTTTTGTAGTTCCGTAATTTTGCAACTTTTTAACTTTATAACAATGTTCGCTTTTTTCCGAACTTTCTATGACCGAATAAGATAAAACACGCAACTAGTGTGTTGCGGATAGCGTCTTTCTCGTTCACTGACTTATCCCATGCTTCATCTTTAAACGATCTTTAAATGGTCAAGAGATGGATTATCCAACTTTTTTCTCTTTTCTTCTCTCAGGTTTTTTTACGAAACTAGATACATGTCCCTCAATCGTGTCTGATCGTTAATCTTCATTTTCTGGCAACAGCTGAATATGTGAAATGAACATTGCTAATTTAATACGGTTACATTTTAAAGAACATCTTACTTCCAAAATTTATTATTATTCCCGGAATGCCGGGAAAACAACGTTGAAGGCCAAACCTGCAATAACGTTGGAAACATATAAAAATTCAGTCTTATCCCTGACAGTAGTAGATGAGAGAGAGATTGTTTAAAAAAACTAATTAAAATATCGTTTAATTATTAAAACCGTTTTTTTCCTTTATCATGTGTTTTCTTCTGTCACTTTTCCCTCCGTATTTTCTTCTATTTTTTTATCTAAAAAAATCGACATTTATTGATTATGAATAGAATATAGTCTTTTATGCATTGACTTCCAAAAAAAAATAGGTTAAAAGTTGCTAATTTATTAACTATTATTGAATTATTTCTGTTTTATTTAACAAAATAATAATATATCATTGTTTCGAATGTATGTAAATGCACAACGTGTCGGCAATAAAGAAGAAAAAAGAGAATAGAATTCACTGAAAATGGCGAAATGCATTGCATATTCCATATACAAACTGACGTGAATTAGAGATATTTCATATTCGTCGGAGTTCAATTAAAGTTGTCTGTTTTTGTTTTAAATACAATCTTTATCATATCAAACATGTTGCAATGCTGTAATAACATATCTCAATTTATCTGATGAATTATTTAAAAATTTTTTTAAATAAACTCGGAATAAACAAAATATATGTACTTTTTATATTTTAATATGTCACGTACTACTCGTATATATGGTGAAAGCAAAAAGTTTTGTACAAGGAAATTTGTTAGAAAAAAAATCTTATTTGTAGAAAGTAAACATTAATTAGCAATTTTATACAATGAATACATTTTATTTTAACATAAACAAACGAGCTTCGCATGTATTCTTGATTTTAGAAGCTAAATTTCTCGTTTGTACGAATACTTTTTGAGCATTCAAACAATACAGTTTTTAATTTTCGCTTATTTTTCAGATGATATATTTTATATAATTAATACACATTTTTTTTGGTATATATAATTTTAAGAAACATACAATCTATTTTATTCTTTATGAATAAATTGTTAATTAACCAATAAGAGATCATTAATTAAACATTAAATTGATGTTGAAATCATCGTATTTATATCGATTCAACATCAATTCGACTCATTTCTTACTGAATAATATTTATTTTAAAAATATTAATTTATTTTAAATTTATTTTTATTATATAATTTATATAA